ACAGCCGCTGCTTTACCATCCACTCAGAGTCCTCTGCTCCTGCACTGACATGTTACATAGGTTTTCAGATGCCAACAGTGCTGTGGGAGAGTGTGGGACCAAGGGATTGCCCCCCCCATGGCAGAGTAGCCACCAGACCATTTCCCATGCAGACTGCATACAGCTGCCAGCAGAGTGTGTGTGTGTGTGTGAGAAGGTTTTGGGGACTCAGTATGTGGGATCAGCCTTCAAGGTGCTGCGTTTACAACTTGTTCTGGAAGACTCTAGGTAAGTCAGATTCGGATTTAGGCATGCAGTTAAGAAGCCCTAGGAGTTTAGTCAGCTTTTCTACATCAGATCATTTAATTCCAGGCTGGAGATGCACCTCAAATGTTTTGGGTTTGTTAAGGGTCTAGTACACAGGTAAATACTGTTGGAGTGTGCGGACTCTAATCTGGGAGAACCGGGTTTGATTCCCCACTCCTCCACTTGCACCTGCTGATGTGACCTTGGGTCAGTCACAAACTCTGGCACAGCTGTCCTTGAAAAAGAGCAGTTTGTGTCAGAGTTCTCTCAGCCCCACCCACCTCACAGGGTGTCTGTTGTGGGGAGAGGAAGGGAAAGGAGTTTGTAAGCTGCTCTGAGACTCCAAGTGAAGGGCGGGGTATAAATCCAATCTCTTCTTCTCTTCTTCTTCTCCTGCTATTTAACCTTTTATTAAAGCATAACTGCTAATTTCTTAACTTTGAATAAATTAATAGAAAATTATACCATCCATTATTGTTACGTAGGTAATTAAAGAACAATTATGAGTCCATAAAAATTTCTTGCCCCAAAAGTAAGTTGGTCACAGGCAAGGAGCCCCTTCAGAGAACAAGCTCTTGATCTGTTTCATATTTATAGGCTTTTAACAACATCTCCTAACATTAGCTAACTGTACCACTTGATAATAGTGCACATTCTTGGCTGACTCATTATCTTATTACCTCAAAGAACATACGTTATCTATATATCAAATGTCTTAAAATATATAAAAACTGTTAGTTCATTCTGGCTGCTTTTCATCTTAAAGTCTATTTAAAAACAGTGATTACAAGTTTCTAATAAGTATGAATATATTTTGGCCTTCCACCAACACACCCATCTTTGAACTATGTCTTCACTTCTGTAAAGCTGGACATTCTCAGACACTCTGTGCACCTGGGCATCAGCAAACAATATCTATTGATATTTTTCTTATTCCTTTTCAAAGCTAATCTGTTCTGGGTCTGAGAACTCCCTTTTTGTCCTATTTTAGGTCAGAGGCCAGCATAGCTTTGTTTTTATGCACAGATACATTTTCTGTGATTTTTTTAAAATCAACCCTAGCACTGTATTTCTGGGTATATCTGTGACAAGATAAACAAAACAGATGTCCAGTGACACCAGAAAGACCAGTGACAGTGATCCCAGCATAGGCATCCTTGTGTCTGAGCAGACCCTCTCAGATGTGTGAAGATGTCACAGATGGGGGAGGAGGTGGGAATGGGAAGGGAATGGTTCTTATTGGCCCACAGACAGGGACAGGGTTGCAGAACACCCCAGACTTTATTGAACTACAAATAATGAAGATGCCTGATTAATTGGGTTGCTAGCTTACTCTGTCCAGTAAAACCTGTGCATTTGCAAGCTACTTTCGGAGCCACGTGGTGACAGGCTAAGCTTTCCTTAGCATAGTGTACATGAGGCAGACTTGCTGGTCAGAAACCTGGGCAAGGCAGGATGTTCCAGGAGCTGGGGCTGCTGGGCTGAAACTATTGATTGAGCGGAGTGACAGGAACTGCACCAGTCATACTCCTGGGCAACGCTCCCTCTAAGCTGTGGAGTCTTGTGAGCAAAAATTCTACTTGGTGAGCTACTGACATTAAAGTTGTGAGCGAGCGATTTGGCTGCTGCGTAAATCAGTTTGCTCTGGAGCCCTCCTTCCTGAGCAAAGACAAAAATGTGTGAGCTGGAGGCTAAAAAACTGAGCTGGCTCACGCTAACTCAGCTTAGAAGGAACACTGCTCCCGGGTCTCCCTGTTGAATCACTAGCTGCACGGATGCCAAACAGATGTGTGCTACAGTTGTAAACAATGTAGATGTCATGCTGGCCACAGCTATGCTTGGAGGGCCCTGGCAGGGACTGCAGTTCCACTCTGTAAGGGGGCCCCATTTGCTAGAAAGAACCCCTGAGGTGCATGCTGTAGCCTTCCAGATGACACTTACTGATCCCATGAGGAAGTTCTCTAAAGCGGCAAATGCTCTATCTCAGGGTGGCCAAACTGTGGCTTGGGAGCCTCATGCGGCTCTTTCACTCATATTGTGTGGCTCCCAGCAGGGCAGCTCGGGAAGCTAAATATCATTAGCCAGGGCTATTTTTGGGCAGGAACGCACAGGAACGGAGTTCTGGCTGGCTCCCAAGTTGGCCACGCCCAGCAGGAACTCATTAGCATAATAGGCCACACCCAACAGCAAAAACTCATTAGGATTGGCTACATTAGGGGTGTGTGGCCTAACATGCAAAGGAGTTCCTGCTACAAAAAAAAAGGCCCTGGGTTTTGACAACAAAGTGAACTGAATAAGAGGCAAAAGGTGGGTGTGGCTGGATGACCTAACTTCTGGTAACATGGGGTGTATGGCCTAATATGTTAATGAGCTGTTTTGTCAGGGGTGTGGCCTAATATGCTAATGAGTTTCTGCTGTTGGGTGTGGCCTATTATGCTAATGAGTTCCTGCTGGGCTTTTCCTACCAAAAAAGCCCTGTCATTAGCAAATAAATATCATTGGACAAATAAGTACCATTATCAATATCTGCTTTTACACCTTTTCTTATTATTTTTGGCAGTCTCATTTAATGTTAATAAAAAGCAAATTTGCTTATTTTCCAATTAAAACATGTAATATCTGTTCATGTCTTGTGGCTCTCAAACATCTGATGTTTATTCTATGTGGCTCTTACGTTAAGCAAGTTTGGCCACCCCTGCTCTATCTGTTGCTGCTGCAAGGGACTCTGGTCCTGTGGTTGCTTGGCCAGGCGATACACAGAGCACAGTGGGGCCCAACCCAGAGTTTCACACTGTCACCTGCTTGAGGGGAGGGGCAAAGGAGTTGACTGTAAACATCCCTGTCCCCCCATCATAGGCAATGTTCCCAAGTACATTTCCCTGCGAGTATGTCCGATTGCATGACATGAGGGATTGTGTCATGGAGTCTGGCTCAGCTTGCCCTCATATGTACGCACCACTGCTCTTGGTTGTTGGAGCCAGCATCATCAGGGCAGTGCCTGAGGTTCTGCAAAAAAAAATTGGGGAGGCACATGCAGACTCCCAGGCCAGGGCTTTTGGACTCCCATCCCTGCTCATCTGTCAGTGTGTGGTTGCCCTTTGTGTTGAGCCTCCAGAGATTAAGGGTTAATGTTTGAACATTGCATAATACTTTAAATGTTGACTATTATGAATGAAATTATAGGATGCCTTAAGGGCACTATGAAATATACATTCTTTACCAATTCATGGCTTACTCCTCCATAAAAAAATCTACCAGTAAAACAAACTTGCACAGTCTAGTCCAGTCTGCTCCCTGCTATGCTGTGTTTCTATTCACATATGGATAGTTTTTACACAGTGGACCATTAAAAATATAATGTATCACTTGCAGTTTGAAATGCAACAGTTCATTCTACCACTGGTCATTCTACCATCGCCTTCCGCTACATGTTGCCAGGCAGGGGAGCATGGAAACAGCTGCCCATGAGACTCATTGAGAGAATCCGATTAGAGCTATGTTTGCTATAACATCAGAGATCAACTCTAAATCTAGTCTACTACTGTTTAGAGCCAGGTTACTTACTTAATTACATATATATATAT